CTCTCTCTCTCTCTCTCTCTCTTACATCACATACACTTATAATTTATAACAGAGCTAAAAAACAACGCATTTTTTTATATTTCCTTTTTGTCTTTGTTCTCTTTACCATCTCATTTATCTTCCTTTATCACATTCCTTCTATTCATCAAGAGAACAGAAAATCATAAGGTCGGTGTCTTAAGGAACGAGTTTTAATGTCTCATGGGAGCTTTCACTGAGGAGGAACTTGGCAGGGAGAGGAATTGGGGGGGGGGGGGTCAGGATGTAGAGGGAGGAGGAGGAGGAGGAGGAGGAGGAAGAGGAAAAGGAGGAGGAGGAAGAGGAGGTGGTGGAAGAGGAAAAGGAGGAGGAAGAGGAGAAGGAGGTGGAAGAGGAGGAGGAGGAGGAGGAGGTGGTGGTAGAAGAGGAAAGGAGGAGGAGGAGGAGAAGGAGGTGGAAGAGGAAAAGGAGGAGGAAGAGGAGAAGGAGGTGGAAGAGGAGGAGGAGGAGGAGGAGGAGAACGAGGAGGAGGGAGAATAGAGGGAAAGAGAGGAGGAGGAGGAAGAGGAGGAGGAGGATGGAGGGAAGGAGAGGAGGAGGAGGAGGAGGAGAAAGACGAGGAGGAGGAGGTGGAGGGGAAAGAGAAAAAGGAGAACGAGGAGGAGGAGGAGGAAGATGAGGAGGAGGAGGTGGAAGAGAAAGAGGAGAACGAGGAGGAGGAGGAGGAGGAGGAAAGAGGAGGAGAAGGAGGAGGAGGACCTTGGAAGGAAGAGGAAGTGGGAGAGGGAGAGAAAGCGGGAGAGGAAGGGGTGTGTGTAGAGAGAGGAGGAGGAGGAGAAGGAGGAAGGAAATAAAGAAAAGGAGGGGAATGAGGAAAAGAAGAAGGAGAAAGAGGAGTAAAGGAAAGAAAGAAGAGAAGGAGGAATTAGGAATAAAGAGGAGAATCAGAGATCAAGAGCAAGAAGAAGAGGAGGAGGAGTAAGAGGAGGAGAAGAAGGAAGAGTGGAAAAAGAAAAAAAAAAAGAGAAAGAAAGAAAAAGAACAAAAAGAATGAGGAGAATAAGAACAGGAGGAAACGAAGCAAATAGAAAAGAGAGAGAGAGAAAAAAAATCAAAAAATCAGAAAGAACATAAGAAAGAAGATAAAGAAAAGAAGAATAAATAAGGAAAAAGAGGAATCCCCGACCAGCCATTATTCCAGGGAGGCTAAATTCCTTCCAAAAACGATAACTTAGAGGAGAGAAAATCGGGTCAGTTGATGACTTATAAATCTAAGTGGGAGGAATCGGGAATCATTTCTGTTCTCATTTCTTCGTCTTCGTCTTCGTTTTCTTTCTTTCTTCGTCTTCTTTTACTGCTTCTTCTTCGTCTTCGTTTTCTTTCTTTCTTTCGTCTTCGTCTTCGTCTTCGTTTTCTTTCTTCTTCTTCTTCTTCTTTTTCTGCTTCTTCTTTGTCTTCGTTTTCTATCTTTCTTCTTCTTCGTCTTCTTCTTCTGCTTCGTCTTCGTTTTCTTTCTTTCTTCTTCTTCGTCTTCTTTTTCTGCTTCGTCTTCGTTTTCTTTCTTTCTTCTTCTTCTTCTTCTGCTTCGTCTTCGTTTTCGTTTTCTTTCTTTCTTTCTTCTTCGTCTTCGTCTTCGTTTTCTTTCTTACTTCTTCTTCGTCTTCTTCTTCTGCTTCGTCTTCGTTTTCTTTCTTCTTCTTCTTCATCGAGAGAGAAAGAGAGACAGACAGGCAGAGATAGACAGACAAATAGATAGATAGATAGATAGATAGATAGATAGATAGAGAGAGAGAGAGAGAAAGAGAGAAAGAGAGAGAGAGAGAGAGAGAGAGAGAGAGAGAGAGAGAGAGAGAGAGAGAGAGAGAGAGAGAGAGAGAGAGAGAGAGAGAGAGAGAGAGAGAGAGAGGAGGGAGGGAGAGAGAGAGAAAGAGAGAGAGAGAGAGAGAGAGAGAGAGAGAGAGAGAGAGAGAGAGAGGGGGGGGGAGAGAGACAGAGAGAGATAGAGAGACAGAGAGAGACAGAGACAGAAACAGAGACAGAAACAGACAGAGATGAACAGACACACACACACACAAAAAAAAAACATATCTACCCATCTCTCCAAAATAACACAGACACCCCCTCTCTCACATCCCGTTTTCTGTGATAGATGATCGCGTTAGTTGACAACGGCAGCTCGAGAGACGCCAGAACAACATGATTTATGACACGCTGTTGACCCTAGCCTGTACCCTTGGGAGGTCATGCCATGTTAGGTCACACTTTGTTTATATCAAGAGTGGTTTTAGTTATATGTTTTTTTTATAAGGTTATTTGATGGTTGATTTCTGTGTTTAAGGATCTGGGTATCTGTTGTGTGAAGAATATGTTGCATGTATATTTTTCTTTCTTTCTTTCTCTTTGAAATAGATATTTACATTGCTAGATTGCAAAGACAAACATAGAAAGCGATATATATCCTAATGTAATAATAGCATATTTTTGAAAGTATCTGAATATATTTTGAAAGTATCTGAGTATATTTTTACACTATATACCTACATCCTTTTAAGATTAATAGGTGTTTGATATAATCTACTTAAATAGCACCATATTTACCAGGATTAATAGTCAGTCATATCCGACCACGATATCAGCATATATCTTAATTAACTTACAAAAAAATACAAGAAATAATATTTCCGACACAACAATGAACACACAAGGAAAATTACAACATGGATTAAGAAGCACACATTAAAATAATAATGATGAAAATGATGATGATGATGATGATAATAATAATGATAGTAATAATAATGATGATGATGGTGATGATGATGATGATAATAATAATGATAGTAATAATAATGATAATGATGGTGATGATGATGATGATGATGATGATGATAATGATAATAATGATGATGATGATGATAATAATGATAATGATGGTGATGATGATGATGATAATAATAATGATAGTAATAATAATGATGATGATGGTGATGATGATGATGATAATAATAATGATAGTAATAATAATGATAATGATGGTGATGATGATGATGATGATGATGATAATGATAATAATGATGATGATGATGATAATAATGATAATGATGGTGATGATGATGATAATAATGATAATGATGGTGATGATGATGATGATAATGGTGATAATGATAATAATGATGATGATGATGATAATAATGATAATGATGGTGATGATGATGATGATAATGGTGATAATGATAATAATGATGATGATGATGATGATGATAATAATAACGATAATGATGATGATGATGATGATGATAATAATAATGATAATGATAATGGTGATGATAAGGATGATAATTATAATAACGATAATGATGATGATGATGATGATGATAATAAATAACAAAAATAAATAATAATAATAGAAATAATGAAAAAAAATATATATAGTATATTATTGTTACATATTTCAAAATTCAAAACAGATTGATAACACAATTCCTAAAGCCATTCAGTCAAAAATATATAATTTCCGCGAAGAATATGAACAGCATGATTATCATTTCAAAGAAAAACATATAAGCAAACACCCACACAAAAAAAACAAAAACAAAAAAAAAACATCTAAATATATTCTTCGTATGAATAACAATCATAAAACAAATACTAATCCAACACAGACCTAAACTACAGTATATTAAAAACACAACAAAAAAACATGTATAAAAAATGCAAATAAACGTATATACTGTATAGTGTATTTGTTGTATAAACTGATTGTGTTCTTGTTTTCCCCTCTGTATCCATCGCTCTATGCTAATTAATCTGGACAGAGATATAAATGCAGTTTGTTGTATTAACTACAGAGAATTAGAGGGGAAAGCTTAGGGGTAGGGGTTGATAGGGGAGGGGGGGAGGGAGCTGAGAGTGAGTGGAGAGGGGTTGGGGGGAGGGGAAGTTGTCAGGGTTAGGGGGTAGGGAGGGTGTCATAGTGGGGGGTGGGGGTGGGGAGGGTGTCAGAGTTAGGGGGGGAGGGGAAGGTGTCAGAGTGGGGGGGAGGGGAAGGTGTCAGAGTGGGGGGGGAGGGGAGGGTGTCAGAGTGGGGGGGAGGGGAGGGTGTCAGAGTGGGGGGGGGAGGGGAAGGTGTCAGAGTGTGGGGGGAGGGGAGGGTGTCAGAGTGGGGGGGGAGGGGAGGGTGTCAGAGTGGGGGGGGAGGGGAAGGTGTCAGAGTGGGGGGGAGGGGAGGGTGTCAGAGTGGGGGGGAGGGGAGGGTCTCAGAGTGGGGGGGAGGGGTGGGTGTCAGAGTGGGGGGGAGGGGAGGGTGTCAGAGTGGGGGGGGAGGGGAGGGTGTCAGAGTGGGGTGGGAGGGGAGGGTGTCAGAGTGGGGGGGAGGGGAGGGTGTCAGAGTGGGGGGGGTGTCAGAGTGGGGGGGAGGGGAGGGTGTCAGAGTGGGGGGAGGGGAAGGTGTCAGAGTGGGGGGGAGGGGAGGGTGTCAGAGTGGGGGGGGAGGGGAGGGTGTCAGAGTGGGGGGGAGGGGAAGGTGTCAGAGTGGGGGGGGAGGGGGAAGTGTCAGAGTGGGGGGGAGGGAAGGGTGTCAGAGTGGGGGGGAGGGGAAGGTGTCAGAGTGGGGGGGAGGGGAGGGTGTCAGAGTGGGGGGGAGGGGAGGGTGTCAGAGTGGGGGGGGAAGGGAGGGTGTCAGAGTGGGGGGGAGGGAAGGTGTCAGAGTGGGGGGGGAGGGGAGGGTGTCAGAGTGGGGGGAGGGAGGGTGTCGAGTGGGGGGGGGAAGTTGTCAGGGTTAGGGGTTGGGGAGGGTGTCAGAGTGGGGGGGGAGGGTGTCATAGTGGAGGGGGGAGGGTGTCTGAGTTAGGGGGAGGGGAGGGTGTCAGAGTGGGGGGGGAGGGGAGGGTTGTCAGAGTGGGGGGGAGGGGAGGGTGTCAGAGTGGGGGGGGGAGGGGAAGTTGTCAGGGTTAGGGGTTGGGGAGGGTGTCAGAGTGGGGGGGAAGGTGTCATAGTGGAGGGGGGGAGGGTGTCTGAGTTAGGGGGAGGGGAGGGTGTCAGAGTGGGGGGGGAGGGGAGGGTGTCAGAGTGGGGGGGAGGGGAGGGTGTCAGAGTGGGGGGGAGGGGAGGGGGTTGAGGGTGAAGGAGGAAAGATTGAAGTTGAGAAAAGAGAGAGATGAGGATGAGGGGTAGGGTGAAGGGGAGGGGGAGAGGGGGGGTAGGAACTGAGGGGTTGAAAGGAGGGGGGGGAGGGGGGTTGAAGGTGAGGGGACAAGAAAGAAGTTGGGGTTGAGGGGAGTTCAGAGATTAGGGGAGAAGCTGACAGAGTGAGGGAAGCGGTTTAGAGTGAGGGGAAAGAGTGAAGTTGAGAAGGAGGATTTAAGGGTGAGAGAAGGGGTTCAGGGCGAAAGGGGGGGGGGGGGGTTCAGGATTTAGGGAAGAAGCTGAGAGTAAGGGAAGAAATTAAGGGTGAAGGGAGGGAATGAAAGTGAGGGAAGTGAGGCTCAGGGTGAAGTGGATAAGGATGCAAGGGAGGCAGAAACTGGTGGTGTGGGTGAGAAGCAAAGGGGGAGGAGAGAGTAAGGGTGAGAGTGAGGAGAGAGAATTAGGGTGAGGAGAGAGAGTGACAGTGAAGAGAGTGGGAGAGAACAGAGAGTGAGGGTGAGGAGAGAGAGTTAGGGTGAGGAGAGAATGTGAGGGTGAGGGTGAGGAGAGAGAGTGAGGGGAGAGAGTTAGGGTGAGGGTGAGGGGAGAGAGAGAGTGAGAGTGAGGAGAGAGAGTGAGGGTGAGGAAAGAGAGTTAGGGTGAGGAGAGAGAGTGAGAGAGAACAGAGGGTGAGGATGAGGAGAGAGAGTGATTGTGAGGAGAGAGAGTGACAGTGAAGAGAGTGAGAGTGAACAGAGAGTTAGGGTGAGGAGAGAGAGTGAGAGAGAACAGAGAGTGAGGGTGAGGAGAGTGATTGTGAGGAGAGAGAGTGACAGTGAAGAGAGTGAAAGAGAAGAGAGAGTGAGAGTGAGGGGAAAACCTGAGGGTGAGGGGAAAGATAAAAATAACGTACGTCGATTTGTTTTAATCAAAGGAACCCGTTGTATCACAAACTGTTTATTTGGGTTGTGATAAAGAGACCTGGCGTATGGATGCGAAAATAATCGTGATAGGTGGTAGTGGCTGTATACTGCTCGATTGACTTTGCATTAAGGGAAGGGAAGGGAGAGCGAAGGTATGGGAGGAGGGAAGAAGGAAGGAGGAGAATGAAGGAGGAAGAGGGGGAGAATGAGAGAGAATGAGGAAAAGAGGAAATGAGAGAGAGAGGGGGAAAGGAAGGACGAGAGAGGGGGGTTGAGAGACAGAGAGAGAGGGAGGGAGGAGAGAGAGAGAGAGAGAGAGAGAGAGAGAGAGAGAGAGAGAGAGAGAGAGAGAGAGAGAGAGAGAGAGAAGAGAGAGAGAGAGAGAGGGGGAGAGAGAGAGTATCCGAATCAGACAGACAGACAGACAAAAATAAAGACAGTAAAACAAACAAACAGAAACAAAAAACAGTAACACAAACAAACACAAGAAACAAAGGAAAAGAGAAAGACAAAACACCATACAAAACAAAATCTAAAAAAATCAAAACAAAACCATACAAAAAAAACATCAAAACAAAATAAAATAAAATAAAAACACAACCACCCACACACTCAACCAACCCAACCACGTTAACACGCACCACGCACCAACCACCACAACCAAAAACACTCACGCAAGACGGTCATGGTAGCTGCTCTAGCCTCTGTCCTGAAGCTCGGGTGTTCGGCTATGACCTCGCACCGGTACTGACCCGAAGCTGACACGGTGAGGCGCGACAGAGACAAGGTCACTCGCTGGTCGTTGCGGGATTGCTCCTGGATTTAAAAAAAAGAGAGACAGAGAGAAAGAGAGAAAATTAGAATTAGAATATTATAATTGTTTATAGATTTAGAGAGAGAGAGAGAGAGGAGAGAGAGAGAGAGAGAGAGAGAGAGAGAGAGAGAGAGAGAAAGAGAGAGAGAGAAAGGGAGAGAGAGAGAGAGAGAGAGAGAGAGAGAGAGAGAGAGAGAGAGAGAGAGAGAGAGAGAGAGAGAGAGAGAGAGAGAGAGAGAGAAAGGGAGAGAGAGAGAGAGAGAGAGAGAGAGAGAGAGAGAGAGAGAGAGAGAGAGAGAGAGAGAGAGAGAGAGAGAGAGAGAGAGAGAAAGGGAAGGAGGGAGAGAGAGAGAGAATTGGTCCTGAAACAGAATAAAAAAATGTTCTTGGATTAATAAAAAGATAATACTGGTCTTGAATTAAAATTAGAAATTGTTCCCGGATGACAATTGGTCCTGAATTTTGTTCCTGAATCAAAACAGAATTAAAAGAGAGAATTTTTCCTGAATGCAATATAAGGTAAAGATAGAATTGTTTCTGGATTAAGAAGAGAAATATAAGCTTAGTTTTAGATTTTCATGAATGTTAATAGAGGTAGATGAATATCTGGCAGTAAGTTTTAAGTCTCTCTCTCTCTCTTTATCTTTCTACTATTTTATA